GAATATTTCCTCCTTAAACTAGTTGAGTACAATTTTAATCATCTAATTTCTTGACAAAGTAAAAATTTAAGCTTGGAATTTTGAAGTGTTAAGACAATGAGGAAAAGAAAAAATGGTAAGCTATAGAAAAGACTTAAGGCTATTTTTACCTATCTAAAGGAATAGTCCATGATTTAAGGAAATAGCAGAGATAGGCTTTAGTTATTGATGGGTCCTTCTTGAAGTTAGGGATAACCAAGTGATTTGGGAGATAAATCACAGAGAAAGGGTACCCATACCAAGTCTTCAGTGAACCAGTTCCTGATTATTTGGGTTGTCCTAAGAAGAAAGTTGAGTTTTCTTTGAACTTTTAGTTTAAAGTGGTCTTTTTCTAAGCTTTCAATAAAATTTAATACAATTTGAGGTACTTTAAATACTGGAGTATTTTATTGACTTACTGGCAGTGTAGCAGAAAATGAGAAGGGAGTAACAACAGTGGTGATGTTTCACACAGTTATCTAGAAAGCAAGTTAATCATTCAAGGTAAAACAATATTGAATAAAGAATCAGTGTTCACAGTGGTAGCATATTTAGAGCAACAAGTAGAAAGTGAAATTTCAAAAATTATGACCCCTATTGTTGAGTTGGCTTTGTGTCTTGATCTTGAACTGTATTTCCAAGAAAGTGAAGAATAAAACATAAAAATAAACTTAGGCTTGCTACTTTACTGGAACAGTAACCTAAGTGACTTTTTTCCTTCCACTTAAGAGGGGTCTCTTCAATGTTTTCAGTACAAATACACCCTCTTTTGGATGCCACTACTTGTGTGGATTAGGGAAGAGTGAGTGCCCTTCGTCATGTTTGTGGAAACTTCGTCTTGCAGAAGCATATAAATTATTCCTAGGTTTCTTCCAGTGTTTGTAAATTTGTAACTGTAGAGTTGAAAGGCCAATAAAATTGACGAGTTAGAGGGACAATATAAAGAAAGGAGGGAATTTTCTATAAAAAAGGAATAGACATTAATGCTGTTTATCTTTTTTTTCTTTTTTTAATTGTTTAATAACCACATACTTAGGAAGCATTTCATTACAATAGCATTGACATATTCAATAACAATTTCCAGAGCTAAGATGCATCTCTTTCAAAATTGGCT